CTGGCAATTTGTGCCTACTCAATTCTAGATCATACATGAACATTCTTTCACATATCCACAGTTAATGCAGTATATGAGTTTGGAACATGGGGAAACCTCAGTGTTACCAGATTTGCCCATTACTTTGGTGTATGCTCATTTATTCGGGGGGGTTCTTGAGGGGGGTTCTGTAATTCTATCAATGTACTTCTTGTGTCACGTGTGTTTTCATATGGAGCGCTACTCCTCCCTGATGCAAGTCCCCTCCTAAGGTAGAAATGAAAACAGAGAGAGCGAAAGAAGGCGGGGGGGATCTCCCCCACTCCATGAGGCTTGAACTGGTCGGGGTTCCCGGGTGATGATGGTAGTTCAGGGTCCTGAGTACTGGAGACAGGCAGAGTCCCCAGCACGATCAGTCAGGAGTCCCAGTGGAACTGATGCATAGTTTGGATCTAAGCATCAGAACACTTACTGGAGGGTGAGTAGGGATTTTTGTAGAGAAAATACAATGGTTCAAGGGAGAACACTAGATTTGTTTATGGGTAAACTGATGACTCAAGAGTTTTCTTTAGGCTAGACAATAGGAGCTGATCACTCTTGGCTATGAGTGGTGTTTTCTTCCAGGGAGCTCACAATGCAACTAGGCCGCTTCAGTATTTTGGATATCAATCAAGGATTCCTTACTAGAATTGGTCTGATAACTGCTGAGCTGGGTGTGTGCAGGCATAGGTTCTTTAACATCTGGAGCAGAAATCCCCCATGATGCAGTGCTTCCCTGCTTTTCTGGTCCCAGAGTTCAGTGCGGTTCTCTGTTCTCCATTCTGTATGCAAATGGAGAAGTCTCTCTGTCCCATCTTTCATGCAGATGAGGCTAGGGGAGTTGTCTCTGTTCTTCATTCTGTATGCTAACGGAAATGTCTTACTCTTGTCACGAGGGGTCTAGGTGTGTCTTCCAACGCTGCTCTCTGCAAGCCTTTTCTCTGATTGGTTTTGGTTCAAGCAGAGACTGGTGTGTATGGGGGTGTCTTTCATGAGTCAGACAGGCTAGATACTGCGCCCTGGTTCCCCAAAAACACAGAGCTGACTGGTATCATCAGATGGCATAGCTCTCGGCACCTTATGAAACTCTTCTAAATTGTATGCAAGTTATATCTGTCAGCAGATAGGGAGCACCCTCAGTTTTCCCCTTTTGCCCACAGGAGAAGCCAGAGAGCAGCATATGCAAATTCCTTCCCCCCACAATTACCTCATTTTACCTACAGAGAGAGACAAAGAGCTTCTATTCCCACAAGCCTGAAAGCCCTGTGGCTTTCATTTCTGTATGATTACCTGTTTCTGTTCTTGTGACATTTATGTGTATGCAGTAGAGGCAAAAGCATACAAATGCAGGATTTCCATTAGAAAGACATTCATACATAGAAATTTGGTGGAGGAAAGAGTTGGAAGGAAGAACTAAAATTTCTGATATTCTAGAATTGCACTGCACATTTCTAATCCAATTTCTAGATTTTACCACTGTGGCACTAAACTATACCATTTTTTATGGATTGTTGCAGAGCAGTATTTTGTCTGAAGGATAAACAAAATGAAAACTTCACGGGAATTAATTTACATAATATAGAAACTTGCTCACAATTTAAGAACTTTTCTGGGCTTCTTAACTTGATGAATACAGGGCTGGCTAGTGTCATTCAACTTTCTGAATGACAATTTATTAGAGATGATCAAATTTTGTCAGTATCTTTTCAGTGAAAAATGCCTCTGACCAAAATGAAATCTTTTGAGAAAAATTCTCATGTTTGGTCAATTTTCTAGCTTTTTCAATAATTAAAATAAGGAAAAACTGTATTTTCTGCAAACATCTTTCAAAAACTGAAATATTTTTGGTCATTTATTGGAAAAATATATTTTTTGTGTGTGTGAAATTCTGGAAAAAATTGAAAAATGCCAATTTGTAGGGAATTTTTTCTTTTAACTGGCTCTACACCTTATAAATATGTGTCTAATTCATCATTGTAACTCTGTTGCTGTCTTTAAAAGCCCTGGAAGTAGCCAGACACTTTCTGTAACTCTCAGTAGTTTTCTACCTGAACATTACAAACTCATTTCCTGCAGAGACTCCATGACTTTTTTTATTTGAAGTAGCTGAATTCTCCAGTATCTTAAGTTTAATTTTCACAATTAGTAATAAAAAGCCCAGTAAATAAATTATATTGCACTGTAAAAATCAGTTATTACTAGAAAAATATTAATACTGTGCACAAATACCGTAAACATATTTGTCATAATTGGCTTAATAATTTGGATTCGAATTTAGCACTTGGTTGGGCTGTTTGTGTGAATGAGACCCAATGTGGCAATTTCCTTGAAATGATGCCTTAAAATAGCTTTTCATTTGCTGTATCCAGAAACTGAAGATCTGAAAAGTAAGGCTGCTGCTACTCTCTAAAACATCCCCCTATATCAAAGAGTTGAAGTTGGTTTAACATTTACTTCCTTTCATAATGCCCTCAACATGTGTGGCTTTAGTGCACTCACCAATGTGTAATGTATAACATATCTCCCATACATCCATTCTGAATTTGGCTCACTGAGTCTGTGAAGCAACTAACAGGCATGTATAAAAAGGTGTCAAACTTTATTTCCCAGTTCCTCAGTATCTAGATTACATCCACTTTGACTCCTTTACACATCAATAAGTAAATGTAATGAGGTTGAATGAATCTAACATGCACCATCTACATTTGGCCCATTATGCCTAGATATTTTGACACATGCTATAATACATAACATGGCATGTTGATCTGAAACAACTGCAATACCCAGGTCCAGCAGGATGAATTAGAGATGGAGTGGCAATCTGAACTCTGGATTTTCTTTCCTTGAACAACTAAGGCCAGTTTCTTTAATTTCACTGGTTTTTATTTTTATTACATCTGGGTCCAAATTTTGAATCTTGATATCTAAAATTAGGCACCTTAATCTAAATTCAGGCACCTACGCAAGTCGCCTAATTTTCAGAGATACTGAGCACCCACAGCTCCCATTGAAGTCAAACTACTACAACTTTAAGCATTTCAACACATTTTTGTTACAATTAAAGACATTCGTAAAACTCAGGAAAGCTGGAATCAAGTTTCACATGAAACTGAATTGCCATTCTTTTCTAATGGGATCTTTGTAATTAGTGATTACCAGATGCATTTAAAATGTGTGAAGTGCCTGAGGGTATAGGAATTTAAGAAAGAAAAAAAAAAAAAGCCAAACACCTCAGATTTTACCCTGGTAACCTTTTATTTTAAGATTCTGCTGTGTGCACAGGTGAAGCAGTATGGTGTCTATTAAATGTTTTGTTGTGGTTTGAGTTTGTTGATGTTACTAATAAATATAGTTATCGCTAATTGAAAACTCATTTGGTTTCAAACAGTCTTTCTTTGGTTGTGATGACTTCCCACTTTATGTCGGTGTTCACACTGTTATCCTTCCATTTCATATTCTGAAATCACACAAGTCACAATAGGTAGGTGGAGATGAAACTAGTGTTCTAAAAACAGCAATTACAGTGATGCAATTGTTCTCCAGTAGTTAGATCAAAGTCGTGAGAATGAGGATTTCAGGGTTTCATTCCTGAATGAACCAGTGACTGGCCACAAGTTATGGAGCCTGAGTCAACACACAATGCCATCAATAGAAAGAATCTCATGAATTTCAATGGGCATGGGATCAGGCTCTTAACAGTTCAGTGCCTCAGTTTCCCCATGTGTGTAGTGGGAATAATACTTCATGAGGGTGTTGTGAGACTTAATAAATGTATGTTTGTTGAGTTTTTTTAGCTCTTTGGCTGGAAGGGGCTATTTAAATGCAATTTTTTCCCCAGGGAGTAGTGGTGGTTATTCTTGATGGAATCTTTGCTTGAGAAGGTTTTTCTTGGGTTCCCCTCCATTTAGTTTCTTCTTTTCTGCTTTTACATTGAAGACACAGGGCCATATGGTGGCTGGCCCATATGCAGGGGAAGGGAAGAGTTTAAGGAGGCTGCCCCATCCTTGCATCTCCTACACATCTCCTGTTGCAACTGCACTTGTTGAGCACCAGGGAAGGCAGGAACTGTTGACTCTCTATATCCTGTGATTGCCCTACCCCACTTCTCTGAGCCACCTTGCCCAGACATGCAACCCCTCTTCATTTAGAAGCCTGAGGGGAGCAGACTTGATCCTTCAGAGAGAATCTCTCATAAGCCACTCTCCTACTTCTGCCACCATCCTGCACTCAGAGTTCTGTCGCATGGAACAATTCCTGTAGAATATAATAGTTTTTGGACTATGCTTTGGAATTTACTAGGGATTTCTAGACCTGAAAGAGAATTCTGTAGAATGGTTCAATAAACCCATTGACTGTCATTCTGTGTAAACTTCTGTAGTACTTTTTTTAGAGTAACTCTGTCAAACATTACTGCATTTCTAGAGACCCTTAATGGATGATTTAGGTCATAGCAGTTTGATATTCTAAATTACTTCCACTTGTCTTATTAAAGAATACAAAAAAATCTCCAAATATATCTTCAGTGTGTCAAATTCAGTTCTCCTGCTCTGGGCACAAACACTGCTTTGTGCTTGGACTCAGCTCTACATCCATGGGATAATATTTGGATCCATGAGCGAGGCCTGGGATTGCCGGAGCCTTGCTACTGCCCCCTCCCACCAACAAATCGGGTGCTAGTTATGGCGGGGTGGTGGTGTAATGGGATGGCGGTAGTGTCATCCTTAAGTCTCTGCATACGGAATATACGTATTTAGGGTCCAAATTTCTGCAGAAACAGTGGTGGTCTCACAGTCCACCAGCCAGCTGCAGCTAATGATATTGGAAAAGGAGCAAGATATAGAGAACCAAGTGCTGAAAAGTATCTTTCAAACATGATTATTTCTTCCCATTTAATTCATGCACTAAAAACATCAAAAAGGCCTGGTCCCCGCTCAAACTGTTCTTTTCCTCGGTGTAACTTTTTTTCCTTCCATTTCTGACAGATTCATGGTGGACTGCTCAAAAAGAAGGAAGATGCAGAGAATGCTCTAGAGCTGTGCACCAATGAATCTGCTGAGGCTGAAAGGTGTGTATTAATTCATCACAGAAAATCTCTCCTTTTTAAGGCATTAGACACATTCTGTAAATACTGAAAACGTACTTATAAACAGCACTTCCCATGGCATAGAACTGAACACAATGTTTCCCCTTGTTGTTCAATCAACATTTTGATGCCCGTCTGTGTTCCTCAAAATGGGAATTTATCCTTCTCCATAGCTCTCATTCCTCACTTCCAGCCATTCCTCTGGAAAACTATATCTGCTAATTTGATCAACAGAAATAGGTTAAATTACTGAGTGTACATATAGACCTTATTCACCCTAAAGGGAAAGATTTATCACTGACTGCCATTGCAGCTCTACTAATGATAGAGCTTATAGTGTAGGTTAGACTCAAGTCTTCCCCCTCCTCCCCCCCGCATCTAACCCTGTTTGGTGTAAAACAGGATGAGAGTAGCTCACATCACAGAACCACCTAAAGTTCCTAGATTTGCCAGTACAGCTATAAAGTGCCATAAAGAACCATGCTGCATGTTCCACGGAATCCTGTAATACCAATCAACATGTTAAATTTTTGACACATGTATCTGTCTAGCTAGAGAGTAACAAATTGAAAAGTGGTTTTAAAAAGAACTAAGTGTGCTATGTTTGTCGGAGAGAGAATGAAAGGAGACAACATTCAAAAGCTAATTGTTAGTTGGATTTTTGAGGGGATTTTAAAAAAATAAATGGCATTTTTCCTTTAGTGACTTTAATCTTTGTGAATTGCTAGGTTGGATATCCCTGGAAATGGGAATTCTCTGTTTATCCAAAAAGTAGCTATAGCACAGGCAGCCAAACTCCAACCTTGCCCATACCATCCTGCTCATGTAGCTCGACTGTGACCTGGAAGAACTACTGCTATGGATGTGAAAGGAGTTGTTTCCATGCCACATGCTGATGATGGCACCTTTTTTGAGACAAGAAGCCAGTTAATGGCAGTTTGTGGTGGTGGTTCTGTGATGTGAACTCCTGACCAACAAGACTCCAACTTGTCTTGTGCAGGCACTGCAGTGTAGTAACGTGACCAGCCGCTACTGAGCTGGATTTGAATTGGTAGCATAAGGGGAAAAACTGTATTGCATCGCCAGACTTCCCCTTACCAACCACTCTACATTTCCTAGACTAACTCTAAACTATCTCTTTTTTGTTTATATTAGGGATATTATATTAGGGTAATATATTATATTATATTTGGCTAAATCTGAACTTGTCTGGTTCATATGGGAAAAACAGACCATGACATTTTGGGCTAGATCATTAGTTGGTGTAAAGCAGCATAATCTCACTTACTTCCATGGAGCTATATCAATTTACACTAGCTGACGTGCTGGAGCACTGTTCATAAGGCACCAATAAGGGTAAAAGCTGGTGATAAATCTAAATATTGTCTTGGAGTGAGCTAACATGTAAAAGGGACAATAAATATTCATTGTGTGTTTCTTATTTCATTTAGTGCTAATTCAGAAAAAGAGGAGAGTGCCAACTGGCATTCTAAGTTGAAAAAAGAAAGTTGTCCGCTCCCAGTTGGGTGCTTTCAAAATTATGTATGCAATTAATTTAAACATTCAGACAGCTGAGCACAGGCTGACCAGCAATTTTAAGAGCAGTTGGGTAGTGTTTGAGCATTTTTGAGGCCTGCAGAATGCTATTTCTGTGCTTTCAAACATAGATTTCTAGCCCATCAGAAAGCAATTTTATATTCTTACTGTATTGTAGTATTAACTCCTCCTTTCCTTGTCCCACATAACCAGTTCATTTCTCTCCCTTGATTCTCCCTGCTTGGGTGGCATATAAGAAGAGATCTTACTTTGTGCATCCCTTGCCCATCAGGATTAATTATAAATATCCAGCCATACTTCTTTTGATGGCTGGTAAGACTGCTGAAATAAAGTACCAACGTTTATCTTTTGATAGAAATGTGTATACATATATATATGCGCACACTCTCTCTCACAGGCCATCACAGCCCCACCCAGCAGAGAGAATGCAACATCTTCTAGAAAGATGTCTATTGAAATGACAGGTTATTCCACCTATGTTTTCAGCTACTCTACTGGTATTAGTGTTTAGGAGTTACTCCTGTGGCTGTGATGTCCTAGAGAATACTTATGTTTTACTGGTGCATATTGGTTTCTGCAAAAGGGTAAGTCATGCTACACTTGTTTGAAAAGGAAGTAATTCTTGGTCTGCTTTGAATTTCTGTCTCTTTTTCTGTCTCAGGTTTCACTTCCATTTTCACTGTCTCCTGCCCGCCCCCCCCCCCCCCACCATTAGCTTTCTGCATTTGGATGTTTAAGGAGACCATAATTTGCCAGTTCAGAAACTTGCATGCTATTTGAGGGTTCCCTTTGGTTGAGCTTTCCAGTTAACTGAGTAATCATCGATTTGCATGGCAAAATGTCGACCCTCTTTCAACTAGTAATCAACATGCAGATAAAAGATTGCTGAGTTATGATGCTGGGTGAGTGCTCTGTTCACTTTTTCCCACGTGGGTAGCATTCATAATTCTCTCGCTGTCTGATCCAAAGTCCAGTGAGGTTAGTGAGTCCGTTGACTTCACTGGATCCAGTCTCATTCTTGATCAAGAGGAATGTTGGATCAGGCTCTTTCTGCTTTATTCAGGCAACCATGTCAAGTAAACAAAGGAGACATTTTATTGACCTATCAGCAGATGACATGATATAGAAGTAGGCAGGAGCTATATGTCACTACAGAGATTCGAGAGAAAAGGAACTCTAAGAAAAGGGAAAAGCAGAACACAATGGGGCCAAGCCCCTTGGCACTTGACATGTATTGGCAGTCTTCCTTTTTCCTCTTCTTTCACACATATACAATCTTTACATTATCCTTATAGCATGTGATATTGGATATTTCTAAATGCCACCAGGCTAATAGGCTTACTCATTTATCTTTTAGCAAAATGCAATGGATTATAGGTGTGGCTTCAGTTAATTATTGGGATCTCTTTAGATTGTTTTCAAAGAAACCAGATGTGTTTCTATCAAGAACATGTATCTCTCGTTGTTGTGATTTGTATAATTCTTAAAATTAAGCAAAACTATTAAAGAGCAATTGTTTCTGTTCACATTAACAGCACACTGCTTCTCCAGATGTGGCATTTGACAGCCAAACAGCTGCTGGCTATTAAATGTGCCTTAAAAACTCCATTCCTTTGTCATAAAGGGAACAGAAATGTAGCGACATTTATGGGGTGACAGGCAGATGTTTTGGCTGGAACAGTATTGAGCGAAAGTTGAAGTGATTTCTCTATTTGTCTCAATACACACACATTTTAACCCCCATCATCTACTTTGCACTGTGAAGCCCTCTTCTCAAGAAGGAAAAAGGATTATTGCTAAACATTTTTCCTAGAGACCTTAGGCATCTCAGTTGAAAGACTCTGCATTTGTTTCAATTTCTTTTTTGAATGGATCTTACTTAACGTCTATGAATTTAGGCTGGATCTTCCAGCAATGTTTTCAAAACAATTTTGGTAAATTTCTATTGTTTTTCTTTGTACTTCTGAATTTGCAAAGCTTAGTGAAGTAAAGTGAATTACGTTGGAAATCATTTACAATATTCACTCTTTTCAAATGAAAAATATTGGGGGTGAAAAGGGTTATTTTTTTATGTCAAAGTATAGATTTAATCTACCAGATAGGCTGGTTACTTAGTGATAATATATATTTATGTGTAATAGAGTGCATATGTATGGTAGTACAGATGTGAATTAGTGGAGTTGAAGTTCAAAACATCCAACTCCACAACCAAAAGTCTCATGAGGGCCAAATACCCATGTGTTATAACCTTAAACAGCTTTATTGACTTCACTTGAGTTGCACTCTGTAGGAGCTACACAGCTCAGGATCTGGCCACTGATAGTTTTAATTAATATCAGATCCTCTTAAGGCTGCAAAATTAGACTGGAAATTCATGCAGAAAACAGGTTTTCTTGCAAGTTTCCTGGTTCTTCCTGCTTCCAATTGGGTTGGAAATTCCCCATGTAAAGCCTTTGTCATGGTATTTTGTCAGTTTCACATCTGATCTTCATTGGATCAACCTGTAATACAAAGGTCCTAATATCAGAAAGAGCAATCAAAGTTTTTATGGAAATTAAACAGTATTATATGAAATTCCTGTAAAATCCTATGGAATTTAAGAGAATAATATAGTTTCTTCTACAGAATTAAATAGAGGATATTGGTTTTGTATATATATATTTTTAAACAACATGGAGCATTTAATCACTGCTATAAATTTATTCCCACTGCAAATAGGGTTAAAAATTCTGGAGAAAGATCCCATTCTCTATCAAATTCTATAGGCCATTTCCATAATGGAAGGAAGTACTGAGGCACGTAGAGTGATAAATAATAGGGGGAAATGTTAACTAACCTTTTCAAATATATAACATGGTCTGTTTTGGGATGTCAGTTTTCATTTTATCTGAGACAGTTCTTCCATCCCTAATAAAATACATAAATTTGTTTCTTTATATGGATCTTACCTCCACAGCACACGTAGCCAAGCAGGATTCTCATGTCCAAAACGGCCACCCATTGGGAAGAAGCATGTGATTTAACCCCTAGACTCTTGGATTCATTTCCGCTCAAAATATGGCTCTGTGGTGCTGGGATCTGGCTGTAAATCCTTTCTATAAAGCCCCTTGTTTATAATTGTTTATGGTGTATTCATAGTTTCAGTAATCATACCTATGACACAAGCAAGGTAGACATGCTGAAATTACACTGAATAGCATCATGTGCATTAGAGATTAAATTAGTCATTAGAGAGAGTTAATGCACTGAGAAACATAGAGAACAGCCCCCAAAGACCTGTGACTATGCTAATTTCTCGGAGTCCCATATTCCACTTGCATAGAAAACCACCTAGAGGGAGCCAAGAGCTGGCAAATGATGTGCCAGGATGGCCAAGAGGAAGAAGCAGTGTACCTTCCCATCTCATAACCACATAACCCCAGACT